AGTTCCAAATATTTCAATAAAACAACAAATTGCGTTAAGAACAGTGCTATAATTACTCCTTTTGTTTGGTTTCTTTGTAATTACTTTTAATAAATTACTCTGCCTCACCCCATCACTCAAGTAAGTTGTCATCCAAAGGCACAATCAGTACAACACAGGACACAAAGCCACTCACAAGACAAGGAGGGCTCGGGGGAAGGTGGCTGGTGCCTCAAGACCTGCGACTCAGTAGAATCCATAATGCTTTTCTATGGAGATCAAGTATCAATGAAGCTATTACAACAGATTACAGCTATATAAATGTAACCTAGTAATGAAGGACAAGAGCCCTTTCCAAAAGAGGCGAGGGCACCCATGCCTGGGAAACCACTCAAATGCTGTCTGAGCTGGAGAGAGTGGCTGTCCATACCCCCTTTTTGCTAATTGCAGGGTAATTCCTACACCGTGGAAGGACCCCTTGCTTCAGCACTCCCTGAATTCATCTTGTACCATTCGGCCAAGCTTTGCAGTTTGATGGCTCAGGAGTCAAGCACACAAGTCATCATGTGCTATTACAGGTTCAAGAAAAAGCCAGATAATTGTTATTAGTGTTAAATATTCTTTTCCAGAACTCATAAACCAAATATAAAACACACTTTTGGTACAAAAAGCAAGCAGCAGTAAAGCACTTTGTTAAATAGTTTAAAATTTGTATCTACATGTTGAATATTTTAATATGAGAATTGTAATAAAAACATTCCCTTAGAATATATAAAATTTTTAAGAAAGCAATAACCGTGGTAAAATACATAAACCAAACTGGGTTTTAAATGAAATTTTTTAAATCTCCTATGAAATATTATTCACACTAAGATGATTATTGATTGCAGTTTTGAATCAAATGTATGAAAGAACAAATGAAATAAAAGTTGAGTGACAATGCTCTACAATTTAGGAAGCATATTATCACAAAGAAAATAGTTTCAGTGTTTTTTTTCCTCACAGACTCAGAAAACAGAATTTATCATCTGGCTCCAACTGAAATAGCCACAAACACCATAAAGATCACTTTTCAAAACCATCTTTCTAGATGATTATGTTTCACTTGATAAAGAGGAAAATTTCACCCAAATTCTAAGCGGTTTTATGCTCAAGAGAATTGTTTTTCAGATTCTGACAGAAAAGAATATAAGCTTAAAGGGTACTTTTGCTGGAAACCACTTGCACCTAGTGTTCTTGATGACTAACAGAGGCCAGACAATCTCACCCTTGCCAAGACCATGCACTTGGAAACCAACGCACATTAAGGAACACTTAATACTGGACAGCCTCGATATTGTTGAATTTTCAATTTTTTAACAGTGTATCAATGAATATTTCTGACATCATCATATATTCTTACTGATAACCAGAAATGAGTATTTTAAAATGTCTTCCACATATTATCAGATATGCATAACGTAGAAATGGTGCTTCTTTTGAGTCTGGAAAGTGGAATCTTCTTCCTCTAAAGGAATTATATGACATTCATATATTTTCCTCAAATATATGACTTTATAAATTATTATTCTACAGTTACCCCTAATCCTTAGAATACCGATCAAAGAATTAAAAACTTTATTTAACACATATTACTTATTTTAAAACATTATATTATTTTTTAATCTTTGAATGTGATGGGCAATTTGAATTCTCTTTCACTCAAAGATAAAAACAAAAGAAAAATGTGGGTTCTTCCAAAACTAATAGCCATTTAGTAAAATCTATTAACATTATTTTTAAAACTACACATTATACAACTCACTGTTGCAATGCCCATTGTTTAGCTAGCCCTGCAGAACAGGCTGATCCGTTTGTCCCAATTGTTCTTTGTGTAGTAGTTGCTCATGTTCCCCCTGCCTTTCTGTTGCACAAACTGTTCAAATTAAATAAAAGGAACTCAAAATAATGAAAAAGGAAGAATATCAGAATATAAGGAAAAAGTACCTAAGGACCAGAAGCAAAACCGGTGTGTTTTGTCATTTAAAATGAAAACAAAACACATTATAAAGGAATTCAGTTACTTTAGTGGAAAAGCACTAAAATATGAAGATGAAATAAAATGGAAATAAATGTCAGAAGACGACAGAAGATGCGTTAAAAGAATGACATATCTTCAGAAAGATGAGCTATGAAAAGGCAGCAGAGAGACAGGAGAGCTGAGAGGGGATGGGGGGAGGGTGGGAATGACACAGCGTAACGGAGCAGCCCGGGAAGGGCCACGGTATTTTAAACCACTTCTCTGAGTGGTACATCTCACTGGCGCAGTTTACTTTATTTCATTATTCGTTATTTTAACCTACAGCTGAGCACAGAGCAAGTTTGTTTTGCTTCCCCTTCTGAGTTCCCTGAAAAACTCAACTAGTACAGTATTTCAAGTTAGAGCAGGCTGTGCTTAGCACCTTTCTTTAAGGGAGAATACCAGTATCTCCTGTAAGATTACATTCTTTACGTGTAATTCCTTGCCCAGTGCTAGTTCCAGACCCTGGCCTTGCACCATTCCTGTTTTCCCTCCTCAAGCAGGTCAGAAGACTGCTTTCCACAAGCCAGTAAGTATCAGAGGGGAAAATGTTATGACCCTCACAGAGCTGAATACAGAATAGTTAACCAAGTTTACTCAGCTAGGCTAAATCTTGTGTGAGACCTGAAGATGCAGACAGAAACTAGGGGATGGAGGCTAAGGGCGGCGTTAGGGGAGAAACGGAACAAAGAAACAGAGCAGGCAAATAAAGAAAACAGCCATATTTAAAATGTACACCTACCAAAAAGGACTCAAATGCAGGCTCTTATCTTACAGTAAGATAAAATGAATACCACAGAAAAAAGCATAGAATTCATGTGGTAGAAAAATACAATGAATATATGAAAAAAGAGAAATCTATGAATATACTTCCAGACATTTTAAAAACCTTACTGAACTCCCCAGTAAGTTAACTACCTAGATTTCTAAACAGGTTGAAAATTCTGGCAAAAGTTTAATGCATGACCTCAGTTTCAATATTCATTACACACAGAGTTCCATCTGTGTTTTGGAACAGACACAGGGGCAATCGGTGGACACACCTCAGCTGGGTAGCTCTGTCTTTCGGAACTTATTCTAAGGCTCTTGGTTGCTGATTGCACTCCCTTTCACCTTGCCCTTAAAAATACTGCATGGTTTTCCCCCTGCAAGCTCCAAATCTGCTCCTGGGCATAGCAGAGGCAAACAGTGGGCAAGGGGTTCAGCTGCTGTACAGAGTCAGGAGGAAAGACTGGAGATACCCATAATTTTTTTCTGACATAACTTCAAAAGTTCCCATCTACCTTCAAAGCTAGTCAGCTTTAAGCTTCTTTCCTTGAAAGGCATTTTGGCATGCTGATCCTAAACTACTTCATTTTTGTAACCTCTTCAAGACTACCACACGTTTTCTAAGAAGGAAAGGCAAACGTGTGCCTTCTCCCCATAGATTCTAACACAATATCCTCTCTCAAGGCCAAGGCTCAGGGAAGAACTCCTATTTTCTTGGGAGGAAAATTCCTGTCTCCTCCCAGCCCCCGTCTCATTCTCTGAAGGCAGTGGTCAGACCATGGGTATCACAGAAATGGTTGCTTCAAGTTCAGATTTTGGTAGTGATGGTACCAAGTCATCCACAAAGATAATGGCTTTCCCTTCTTTTATGCATGATACATTGTGCACTTGGGTAATCTTGTATTTGGCTTGAAGAATACTAGGTAGAATATATTTTTTAAGACGCTAAGGAAGCCATGATTCTTTTTCCTCCTCCGTATATTTTATGATATCCTTCAATTCACAAACATTTTTAAAAACACCTAAACCATGAAAGTTAAACAAACACAACCTACCACAACGTGTTGGGCTACAGTCAGAAAACTCAAGTCTGCTCAAAATGACAGCTTTTGCTATTACTGTTTAAATGAAGTGACACATACGACTCTTTCATTTAAAAAGGAAAAAGCAAAGGTATCACTTTTCACATACAGAACCTCTAGCTACAGATGACTATAATCCTAGGCTACTTCCTTATCCAATTCTCTTAGAAGTCGTCCTTGTATCCTTAAATGCACTCTGGGACTTTGATATCACCTTCATTATGATGTGCTTTGTGCACATTCTCGGACGCTGCCATGCCCATACTAAGGCAACACATCACAGAAGTTGGCAGCAATGCTATCAGCAAGAATTTGGCTTCAGAATCACGAGTGATTCATCATACATTCTAGCAGCAGAAAAACAACACACCACTATTTTAATCCCTTGGTGCTACCAAAAATAAAAATAGAAAAAATAGTACTTAAAATAATTTTAAAAAGCAACAAAAATCGTATCTGCTGTAACATTATTCATTTTGTAGACTTTAAAAAAAATCACAAAACAGACTACTTACCTTATTTCACAATATTTATCACAATAACAAATCAAGCTTTAACTTAATACAATTTCAGGAGACAATATGTAGGCCAAACTTCTGCAAGGTAACACTGAAATTCTAAATTCAGAGAAAAAAAATTTCTCATTTGCTTTACAAAACTAATCCACTTTTTCCAGCCTCTCTCTCCATTTTTGAGAATACTCTAAAGCCTAAACGAGAGAGTGTTACCGTGTCACAACCAAAGAGAGAAATCCCATACCGTGGGTGATTTACTCAAAAGCATCCCCTGTTTTTAGGAATACTTTAACAATGCCATAAACAAATACCACTCTTCTAATATTATAATAGAATCCACTTACGAGTAAGTCCTATTGCTCTACTTAATGGTCCCGAAACAAATTTTACTCCACGAGAACATAGTATGTTGATAATCTTTAGGATTACCAGCCAATATTTCTATAGACCCAACCACATAATTTCACCATCTCCTGTAAATTTAACTTAAACTTAAAAAAACAAAAACAAAATGCTACTCTATTGTTGTGACCAAGTCCTCAGGGGCAGACGGAGAGATTTACGAACTCCACCCAGTTCTCATTCGGGAAACCCTACCTTTTCAAACACTTCGGTCCCTCTTCGTTTCCGTTTTCGGGGTCTCCGGTTCAGTCTATTCCATTTCGCGACCTAAAGTTCAAAAACCATGGAGCATTTTAAACAGAACCACAGGTCCTGAGGGCAGCCCCTTAGCGTGAGAAACGCTCGACGGCCTCGCGACACAACCTTCCTGGCTTCACCCGGGGAAAGCCAAAGGAGCCCGTCGGGGAAAGCCAGGACGCCTCGGCGTAGGGAGCCGAGGGCCGCGCGGGTTTGTGGCGCGCCGTGGCCGTGACCTTCGCCTAGCCGCTCCCTCCTGTCTCGGGTCCGCGTTGCCGCCCTTGTGCCTGAGCCCCCGAAACGTGGCCAGCTTACCCACCGGGGTCTCCGTGGGGGAAATGCGGCGCGGGACGCGCTGCCCCTGGAGTGAGAAGAGCGCAGGGACCGTGCTGCCCGCACTCACCTCTGCGTCCACTTGCCGCACAAGCCCGCACTCCGCCCCGGCCTGGAGCTCTGTCTGCAGCCGCTGCGGGGGAAGGGGACAGTCAAGTTTACCCTAGGAGTAGACCCAGCCTCCCTCCCTCGCACCCCACCACCTCAGCGCTTGAACCCCAGACCTCGCCCGCCGTAGGTGAAAGTGGGTGCGGGAGTGCCGGAGCCTGCCCCCAGGGTCCGCCACCCGGCCCGCCCGGAGGAGATCAACGGGCACTCGGGGCCCGCAACACCTAAGGCGCAGAGCGGGCGGTGGGCAGCGCGGGGCCGAAGCAGCGGCGCGGGCGGCAGGCGGGCACTGGGCGGGGCGGGGCCTGCCTTAAAGGTATAGGCGCCGCGCCGTGCTCCCCGCAGGTCGCCCCCGCCCCCGTCGGCGTGCCGGCGATTTTATTGTTCTCTGGAAACATCTTTCGTTCTCTCGTGGGTCTGGCCCGCGCCCGCGCACCCTCCCACGCGCGGACTGCCCCAGGCGCACACGCGTTACCTTTCCAGCCCTCACTCTTGCGGGCACTGACTACCCGCGAAAGGGTTTGTAGCCGCCTTGGGAGCAGAACTGCCGCCCGTCCGCGAGCAGAAGCGTTGTCACCCCCGCGGCCAGTCTAAATTCGCTCCTCTGGACAGAAACCTAAGTGTCCAGATGGCCTTCGCGGAGGGAAAGGAACTTTCCTAATGGAGTTTTCTCCGAGAATGGATTATACGCCATTAAGAAGGCGTTTTCAATGGCCCCTTCGGACACTAGGGCGGTGGCAGGTGACCTCCCAGGGCTAGAAGCAAACAGCACGTAAAAGGCCAGCCGCGCGCGCTCTCGGCGCTTCGGGGCGAGCCAGTTCGCCTAAAGCACAGCCGGAACCGCACTCGCCCTGTGCGTGAACCCGCCAAGCGACTGGGAAAAATTTAAAAGGTGGATAGCCTGTCTTCATAATTAGGAGGAAGGTTTGCGTTTAGTTCATTAAAGTGTGTGGTGCCCAAGTTTTTTCCTCCGACCCCCAAAGGCTTTCTTCACCGCTGCATCAGAAATTCGCTGAACCAGACTGGGGCGCGAGCGCTTGGGAAGAAGGTCCAGTCGCATGGGTGTTTGCTGATCTTGACCACCCCTTTAACTTTATCGCATTTCTTTAAAGAAAAATCTGCCTTGCTCTCTCTTTATTGCTACTCCATCCTTCTTTTGGAGATCAAAAGCTTTAGATCAAAGCCAAGATCAAACTCACCACTTTAAATAGAAGCAACTTTGCCATGGACTATTTTACACAAAGAGGAGCTTCTTAATGGAGACATCACAGTGGAAAACTTTATTTTACCACTTCATCCCATATTCACAACTGAACTACTTAAAATTATATTGATGATGCACGTCCATTTCCTAAAATAAACAACAGGTCTGCTCAAATGGGGGATTATTGACTTAGTGTTTGTGTTTCCAGGAATACAAAAAGCAAAAACTATAGTTATGTAGACACATTAACCATTTTGTACCCATTAGCTAAGTGCTATGAAATGCCTGCTTATTTGCTAAAGATTGTTCAGTGTTATCAAATGTTCTTAAATATAATGTATAACCATCATATTCAAATTTTCTACTGTAAAAATGCATAAAAATAGTTAATGCCTTGCAGGTCTCAAGTGCACTTATACATAGGCATGTAAAACTTAAAAATGAAGTGGATTATGTAATTGCATAGCTACTTAATTTTACATGGAAATAAAACTTTCAACTATTTAAGCTTCCATGCTACTAATAACAGTTCCAGAATCAATAGAAATCTATCACAGGCTGACATGTACCCACTAGAGTGGTTTTCCTTGGGAATTCACCATCCCTAAGAACTCTGATGATCAGCTGAATACTGACATACTGAAACAGTGCCCTGCCTAAATGGACCTTTCTTAAGGGTCCTCTTTGTTGATTTATCAACAATTTAAAAACGTGTAGTCTTTTAAGAAAGAAAACCAATATAAGTTCCAACAATCCAGTAGCAGAAATAAAGATAACTACTGCAAATTAAATCTTATACAGACTTCTATGAATATCTGTTGTTACAGCTGGGTAGTTAGGATCTGAAGGTTTTTTTCCCCCTTATAATTCTCATCTGGTTGTATTCCCAATCACACACACAATCATTGCTCATTCCATAATCCCCACAAGCCACTGGAAAGACCTTAAGAATTGAGGCTTCAGAACCCCAACTTGATGCCACTGATGGTCTCCTTTCTTCCTAGCCCAGCCCATGGAGAACCTAATGACTTCTGGCAGAAGCTGAGCCAAGGAAACATCCTACTGCCACTCCACTCTTCTAATACTTTGTGCAGGGAAGGTTGTGGCCCATTCTAACTGCTTCCTAATTTGTTTCTTTTTTGTTTCCTTCCTACTCTTGCTTTCCCACCCCACCTGCAAAATACACCCTCCACAGGGAAACAAGAACGATATTTACAAAGGTAGTTCAAGTGGTATCACTTGGCTCTACTGAGAAAGTGTTTCCTTCTCTTCTTTGCCTGGCCAGCCCCTACTTATTTTCTAGTTCTGGTCTTAAACAGCACTTCTCCATAAAGGTCTTTCCTCATTCCCTGATCCAAATTATGTCACCCCACTATTCTATTAGTATGCCATTTATTTCTTATAAACTGCTTACCTTTTATAGTTATTTACAATTTTCTTTAGTTTTTTAATTAAGGGGTTTTATTTTTTTTAGAGTAGTTAGATTTACACACACAAAAGACACAGCATTCCCATATGCCAACATAACACTCTTTCATTATTCACATCTTGCATTCCTGTAGGGCATTTGTTACAATTGATGAACCATTTTTGATACATTATTAACTGAAGTCCAGGGTTTACATTAGGGTTCATTCTTTGTGTCCTGCAGTTCTATAATAGCTATTTTTAAATTAATTTATCAAATGTCTATTTTCCTGACTAGACTTTAAGATCCAGGAAGAAAGATGCTGTCTTTTCTTCTTGATTTTTGTCCAGTTGCTAACAACACTGCCTTGCGCATAGATGCTTAGTAAGTTTGTTAAGTAACGGCATATGAAATTTCAAGGAGGGAAGTCTTAAGATGAAGATCTTCTAATCAACTCGTGCTTGTTTTGCCACTAAAATACCTTAATTTGTAAACAGCATAGAATTATGTATTTTTTGAAAAGACAGACCATGGGACATTGATTACATTGCCAAAGTGTTTCTAAAATAAAAATAAATAAGAAATAAAGATTCCTAATACTCTCATATATTAACTACTAAAATTATATTCCAAAACTGTACTAGGAGCTGAATTTAACCTAGAAAGAAATGTGAACCTATTGCATGACACTGGAAAAATATTAATTCTTGTTGATTGTGTTCAATTATAACCTCAATACATTTCTCCTTTTGTCTATCACAATCTTCATGGGCTAATCCCAGTGAAGGTATGGTGTGGAGAAACTGGAGGAAGAAGACTTTTTAAAAATTGTAATTCTGTAGCTGGGAATGGACACTCTAATAATTACCTCAGAGAACGTGGTAAAGGCACTTTAAAGTTATCTTTCAAAACAGATGTTTTCTATTTGAATTATATCTTTAAAAATGCTTTGTCTAGTAGAGATGCAGGCTTTGAAAGGAAGTTGTTCTAAGGAACTTTCTTGTCAAAGCAGTTTATAATAGCTGAAGACATTTTCAGAGGCTAAGGAAAAATGCCATTGCTTTAAAATAAAAGCATTACTTTACCTAGTGGTTGGAGATTACTTTTGGAAGGAAAACCTTTTCTCTGCCCTCTTCCGATTCGTTTTACTAGAGAAGAAATAACCCCTTTCACTGGAAATGATAATTGTACCAATTTCATATTGTTCGTGTGGACATCTGCTTCTGCCCGGTGATGTACAGTCCGAGGAATGGGAGCAGCAGCACCTTCCTAGTAAACCAGAAGACCATAAGGCATCCAAGGGGGCCCCTTAATTGGAACAAACCACCTCAGGTGGCAAATGACACTCCTCTGGGCACAGCGGAGGGAAACTGTCCACTATAAGAAGTCAAAAAAATCTTTTAATACCAAACAAGGTAGAGAGGCCCCTGAAGCTTTGGCTGGCTTCAGGGGGCTCTGTAGCCAACATATATTCAGGGTGAATTAGAAAGTAAGAGTCTACACAAGTGTGAAAATAAAATCAAGTTTTGTTTAGGGTGCAAATAACAACAAGAAAGGATTGGGCAAACTTGTCCAATTGTTTACATCTTTAAATTTTGCTCTATCATTTTTAAATATATCATTCCTTTATGACATCTTATTATTGCTTTTAGAAAAATTATATATAATTTATGTTACCAACCATGTTGCCTCGGTGTTAGAATGAACACCAAATTTCTCTGTGGAGAGGATTTTGGCCTTGCCAAATGGACCTCTTAGTGGAAGTCCTTAAAAGCAGAGTTTTCTAAAAGGGAAATCCATTCCACATTTGCTTTGCAGTGGACTGGCTGACAGAACCTCTTCCTCTCAGTAACCATAACGCTACAGTCACTGCTGCTGGGAACCTTTTACAGAGCTTGCCCAAGGGATCGTGGTTCTTCCATTTCTAGACATCCGCCCCCGACCCTGCCCTGAACCTGATGAAGCATTAGCTATCAGCTATTGCTTCCCTAGAGAAAAATACACCCACATTGCGCGCAGTCCCTTCCCCACTCCCCACACACATCAATTGTTAGGAGGTTCACAGATTTTTCTGATGCCCAAACTCCTAGCAGAGATCCCCTCAAATTAGGACAGACTACCACAGAGCTGGTGCTGGCCTGCATCTTACTGGTACTCTGTGAAATTCCTTTTAATGCATTACATTCTGGTAAGAAGCCATCAACCTTTATGGAGGTGCATTATAAGAAACAGCCCCATAAAAACCCATCACAATGTTTACTGTAAAGATGGTTTTAGAGGTTGTTTATTACATTAAGTAGTAGTTTGGTTTGTTTTTTTTTTGTTTTTGTTTTTGTTTTGTTTTTTTTGAGGACCCGCAGGAAAAACTTCTCCCTGGTATCAACATGAGGAATAGTTGGACTTGGGCAGCTGG